TGCCTCGTCCAGCAGGCCGGCGGAGCGGCAAGGAGCGGCCCGGTCCTCCTGGGCAAACTCCCTCCACAATCCTGCAAGATCCTGACTTGCTTATTTTCTCCACCGTGTCCTAGCCACGAAGGTTTCCATTTACCACACGGACATCAGGGGTGGAAAGCCCGTTCTCTCCGGGGCACAACACAGCCCCTTGTTTGCCAGCAGTCCTATCTGTGCCGTAGGGCTGAGATCCATAAAATGAATTTTGGTTCCAACTTACATTCTTAAACTTACTGCAGCTGCAACGCTGTCTGTCATACATTTTGCCGGAGGATCCCCTTTTATGGAGGCCATAACTGGGCACACCCCAACTCCGTGCTGCAGCTTGTAACACGCTTACAGCAGACTACCAAGGCTCACTGTGGTTGCGAAAACCGCCAGCTTTGAAGCCACCATTTAGTTGTATTGCTTCTGAAGTGGATACAGTAACATATCCAACTTGCTGCTAAATCTACCAGGGACCATGAATCAGAGCTCCTAGTAGTCTGAGATGATTACCCATAAAATCCACCCCGATCACTTGCGTGCTTGCAAAGCTCTTGGTACCAGCATTTTCACTAACAGAATTTCCTTGCAGCGATATTACAGGAAGCGTTTGCATCAAATATGCTAATAAAGTTATCCCCTTCCTTCTCTTTCCCCAAAGAGAAGTTCTTGAGATTTAGAAGGCATCATCTCATTCTGAATGTTTAACAAACCAAATTAGAAGTATCACAAACACGTAGAATTATGCAAAGATAATTTACATAAACCTGAATCATTGCACTCAGTATTATGACACAGCACTATTCAAATAATACTTAAATTCTTAGTCATTTCACAAACAAAAACAATTTTAAAATAAATTGTTTTCTCATCGACTGCAACACTATGACTTATTTTGTGCATTTCAACTAAAGAAACTTATATGAAGCAGCTCAAGTTATTTCCAAGACTTTCATATTTATAGTGGTGTTGGTTTCTCTGAGGATGGCGCATCTGGGGCTATTCAAGGAAAGGACCACAGCTGTTGAAAGCAGGCATTGAACAGGCACCTCTTCCAGGAAGAGAGACGTTAAAAACCACCAGAGTTTCTACTCAACTGGGTCAAACAACACACTTGTATCGTACACTCCGGAAGTATGAAACAGAGGGCATCAATCCTGCATCAGTAAGCAAGAAGCAGAGCTCAGCAAATAGTTTTTAATTCAGCCCTTATCTATATTAAAATTCCTAGGATGTGCGCATCCATTTTTAAGAGTTATATCTTGATTTTTAATTTCTTTCCTCTCCACTGCTCACAGCATGTCAGGCATTCCAAGACCTTTCACACATTACATCCGAGTTTTATGTGGCAACCTACCTAAAACAACAATAGTTCAATTTAATAATATTTGAAAAAAATACTAATGTTCAGTGACAAGTGCAAACAATTTTTTACTAACTAAGAAATTTTAATTTCAGGCACTCCATTCTGTGGCAGTACTACAGCAACTCCTGTTTCATTGATATATATGGAATACTCTTCCACCCTAAGTTTTCAAGGCACAATTTCAAAGTGTACTTACTCGCTAGAACAACAAAAACCATATTACAAAGTTTGGTAAGTTCTCTTTGAAGCAAAGACAGTCTTTCATGAACCATTAATTTCACATTAACTGCATTCCAATGGCAGTTTATAGAAAGTGACACAGTTTGTAACACAACGTCCAAATAATTTTCCACATCTTCAAACTGGATTTTACAAATCTGACTGTTGTGAAACTTGCTCTTTGCAATATTTAAAAGGTAATTTTGCCAAGTGTTAAGATGTTAAGAGCTTGGACCAATAAACACCCATACTTTTCCATTAAATGCTATTCACAAAAACATAACCACAAGAACAACCACCTTCCAAAATTACGACTAGTGTAGTCTCAGTCAGGAATAATTATTTATGAGCTTGTGGAAGTATAAAGCATTCAAAATGTCAACATTGCTATAAAATCTGAACGTTTAAGAGCATTCACTAATAGGCAAACGACTAAGCATTCCATTTTGCTGTTGAAAACCTATGTCCAAATATTATGGTAAAAAATTTAATTTTTATTGTATTCAGGGTCTTCAGGGTATGGATAGACGGTTAAAGCGTATTCAAGGAGTAGCTTGAATCCTGGCGAGACTACATCTACAAAGAGAAAAGCAAATGAGGAAAGGAAGGCGAGAATAGGCTGCAGACAGTGTGCTTTCTTAGAAGAGGCAAGTTCTGTGGCATTCTACCTAGCTGAGCAGAAAATAGAACTCATTCAAGAAACTTAGCTGCCTTGACTTGAAAACACTGTATAAAGTTGATAAATGACTCCCTCTTGCAGAAGACAGGAAGGAGCAACACTGTCATTCCACTCAGTATCCTCAGTTCTTAAAATAAGACTCCTTATGAGATGGGTCTTCTAGAATTATAAACTTTAACACCATTCAGCGTTGACAAACGGGCATACTTGGTCAGAAGTGCACCAACTGTCTGCTTCTCTGCACATAAGTCTCTATAGAGGAAATAAAGCAGATTACACTGGTGTTAAAGATATTCTCGTACACATGGATTTAGAAAAAATAATTGTAAACACAGCAATAAGCTGGACTGGGGTCTTGTAAAAAAACAAATTACTGGTGCAGCTGTCACATAATATTCTAAAATTACCTGAAATTGACAGCTTGGCTTGACTTATTACATTTAAGCAACAGACAAACCCATATTATTTACTTCAGAAAAAAGCATTTGTGTTTTGTTGTAAGATTTAACTTTTTTATTCTTTAAAGGTTTGCAACCAAGCAAAACAGTTAGGCTTTGCACTACTAATTATATTACAGTAACTTCAGAGACCCTCCTAATGGATTGATGCAGTTATGTCTGGGTTACCATCTACGTCTGCTCAAACGTGTCCTGGCTGGACCTTCCAGACAGCAGCGTAATATAAATGTTAAAATGTTAACCACCGAAAGAACAAAGGATACAGCACAGGAAGCACTATTGTTCTACAGTTATTCAGTTGTAAATATGGAGACTGATTATAACTTTCGGGGGGTGTTATCCCTTGAACTAGTATGGTTATTACATTTCAGCCTCAATCAAATGAGACAGAGTTGATACCCTGTTTCGATTTGGTGGGATAAACTTTTTACCAAAGGCTCAAATACAATTTGACTTTTTTTTTTTTTTTGGGGGGGGGTGTTTATAATACTATTCATATAGAATTTGTATTAATCTAAAATAAAAGGTGTAGTATTTAAAGCAATCATAGCTGATAAAAAGTCAGCCATGCAAAAAAGGCAGAATATGAACGCTAATTACATCACAGTTCTTTATGCTTGTGTCATTTGTTTTTAAATACAGTCTTGTATTTTAATATATCCTTACTGTATATAAGGGGTAATATCCACTTCGGTCCACTTTTCCCGTATGCTAAATAAGCTGTTGAATCTTTCCTGATTATCTTCAGGTAAGTCTTCTACTTTTAGCAGAAAGATGGTCTCTGGTCTGGAGTTTCTATCCACAAGAGCCAAACCCTGTTAGATCAGAATCAGAGAAACAGTTAAATAATAAATAATAATAAAAAACCCAAAACATAAACTTCCTTCTGGCAATAATCCATTCAAATTGCCCTTTATGTCTCCAGAGCCTTCTGAAACTGCAATACCAGAGGCAAGGTGGAGAAAAAAAATTAAGGTGCAGGTGGAGAAAAAAAATTAAGGTGCTGTTATATATGCAGCACTTGTCGTTCCCTGTATGACAAGAAGATAGGGGGAACCCATTAAGTCATGACATCTCTCCATCTCCTTTCAGGAAAAGGATTTTTGCAGTCCTTGCAACACTCCTGGCTGTCATTACAGTCTGTTATACAGTAGTTTCAGCTTCTGTTTTATTTACAAGTATTAACTCTACAACTGCAACTTTCTTTCAGATAGTGAGATAGATCAGACTCTCACCAGAAACCTGAAGCATCATGAGTCCACACTACTGATGATCATAGGGGATGTCACAAAAAAGTGCTTTAGCTCGGAAGCTGACACAAAACCACCACCACCACCAACCACCTCCATTTCTCCATTATCACACAAGTCAGATAACAGCCTACTTGTAAAGGAATCCATACTTCTTTATGTTTTTTACCTTGAGCTGATCAAGCCTTGTAGCCATCCCTTCAGGGACACTTTGTTGCCAGACTTCTTGAAACTCCGACAGATTGAATTTAACTGCATTTTGCAAAAGCATTTGTGCTATAGTTCTGCATATTTTATCCTCGTTCATTTCAAAATAAACTTCCCCTGATAAGAAATAAAAAGAACATCTTAGGTTCTTGCTTTTTGGATAATAGTATGGAGAATACCCTCGTATTTCCATTCTGTTCTATGGTCTTCTATAGACCAAATAACCTCCTCCTCCTCTTCCCAGGGGAGTAACCTGGCTTGGTATAATCCTTGGCTAAATTACAGTATCTTCCCTATTCTGAAGGACAAATAATTCAGAATACTATGTGCGCAGCACTGTTCTGGCCACAGTATTCACTCATACCAATATATTTGCTTGTCCCCCACCCCAGGATAAAATATCTCTTTTCTCCAGTGTCTCACTCTCTCTTATCTAGTTTTCATTCCTACTTCTGAATAGCTTGTATTAATAGCGTTTGCTCTCTGTGATTGACCAATGTAACAAAACCATCACTTCCCCAATCATCCTTATTAATATAATGAAAGCAGTAAGAATTTTTCATTCTCACTGCCTTGGTTAAAATTCTCCGAACAAGGACAGGCATAAACACTGCCTTCCACCTTTTCAGTTCTACAGACTTCCCACAATTCAAACTGGTCCCTTGTGCAACCTGTCTAAAGATACTAAAAAAGTTGATCCGTGTCACTACAACTACTTTCCTATGTCCTTTAAGGTTGAGTCCAATTCCTGCTTCAGTCAAGGGTGAGATGAAAGAAGTGATGAGAAAGAATTCAGATAGAGGTTAGATGCAAGAACCTGTGTCCTTCTCGACTAGCCGACAGAGGCATCCTAGACAGGACAGTAGGACTGTCTCAAATAGCACTAGGTGCTTTGCTTTATGACTTGATGAATTGAATGTGGTTAACACTGAATGAATTGAGCCCTAGATTTCCACTGTCTGAAAGTTTAGCTGTCTTAGCTCATGTGCAGAAAACTGCATTTAGGAGCCTTCAGCACCTCCTTTTTAGGTTTAATCTTGCCTTTCCAAGCAGCCTTTTTTCCAATTTCCCATTACAATGTGAAATTGAAAATATACATGGTTTGTCTGTATGTTACATCAAAGGGCTACGACATTTTGCAGGACAAAGTAGTTTATATAGCTACATAATTAATTCCACTAAAAAAGATCCCATCTAAATTATACCAGAGATCTATCTTTAATCACAAAATTATCGTCTGAAGACATCTAATACATCACTTCAGGTACCTCTATTAATTTCTCAATTTTCACTAATATTGTATTCTACAGCTTAATAGTTCTTTTTCCTATGCAACTTTCTCTAACAATTTTACTGATTTTTAGCTCCGTGTTACCTCCCTCCCTGTATTGGCATTGTAGTAAATTAATTTGTTTGGGTCATCCTAACAAAATCTTCAGTAATTCGTGAACAATTTTATATCCACTATTTGCAAAATTGAAACCCATATGCTTTTCCACAGTTACCTCCATCAGTGTATTTCCTTCCATAGCTTAACAGAATATGTTCTATCATCTCTCTGAAAAAAAAATAAACAAAAACAGAAATAAAACTACTTGTAACCATTTCCCACGTATTACAAATACCGTACAATTTAAAAATTATGTGTGAAAACACTCTCAACTATTTCTTGTGATCTTGCCCAATCTGTTTCATTAGCACACTACCAAAACAGTTACAATGAAGAAGAGGAAGGAGTAGGCATTGTAAAAAATCAAGAAGAACAAAGGATGGAATGCATCATCAGAGCAGAACAGAATAAATTAATAAGATCTTAAAAACAGCAACTAGTCCTCATCTGTTTTGTTTCCTTTTAACAAAAAGGAGAGATGGAGTTAATTTAGCATTTACTAAAATCTATAATCGTGTTTCAGTCTTCCTCTCTAGCAATTTTGAGGCATCTCATCTCCAAAAATGTCTTCTACTTTCTAGTCATTACTATTCAAGTGTTACATCTTCATTACATAAAACTAGTAATGGCTGGCTTAAAAAAAAAAAAAAAAAGAAGAAAAAGGAAAGAAAAGAAGAAATAGGTATGGCTGACTGAAGGGTACGAGAAGTTTTGTTTATCCTAACTCAGCTCAAATATTACAAAACAAGAAATTCTAGTCTCTGGGTCTGGACACAAAATATATTTAAAAGAAATAAGGAGATAGGTGCCGACCCTGCCTCGCATCAGTTGGCAGAACTAGCTGGATGCTAGAAGGTTTGGAAGTAATTCATGCCTCCAAAGATGTGTAACAGTCATATTTTCCTAGGTGAATACAACAGAGAACTACTAATACACTTGCATGTTTCAGAGCCAAAGAAAATATATTATTAACACCACAGTAACTGGAATCTAGAGTTTAATAGATAAGACTATACTTCGAATAAGCATTAATGCTAATAATGATTATAGACAATTTTACGTACTAAAAAAAAAAAAAAAAAAACTTACGTGGGTTCTAAAGGTCCGAGTTCTTGAAGACAGACATTTAAAGGAACCTTACTGAAAGACCAGGACTCTGAGTCTATTAGCTGAGTCACATGATTCAAGAGCTTTACCTCATAGTCAAAATCTAGAATTCTCCAATATCCTGCCAAATAGAGAACCACATAACACCATCAGAAGGGAAATATTAGCACCCAATTTATATTCCCATGAGACACATAACAGAATTCTGACATACAGATTCCACCTTTTCAAAGTGCAGACAGTATTCTGACCTTTTCAGGGTTCAGAGTAAGAGAAAGAACAGAATAGCAAACATAAGAGACAAAAATATCATGAACTCTTAATTATTTACCCATGTTTCTGTAGATTAACTGCCACAGATACCAAGAGACTAGTTCTAATCCCATCCTAAAATGAAACGGACCCAGAAAAACTATTAATTCAAGCACAGAACTGCTTGAACCAAACCACACCAATTTCTGGGCCAGCTGTGATCCAGGAACAGTTTAACCACCTTCCTGAAGTGCAAAGCCCAAACAAATGAACCCTGCTAACTGAACTCCTGTAATGCAGAATGACATCTAATGTCCCAGCAATGTGCTCCTGGAACCAGCAGAACTGGGAACCCAGTACACGTATGCATTGGCTCTGCAGAGGGTTAGCTCAGGTCCAGCAAAGTCAATAAAAATCCAGATCTGACGAAGCAGAAATTGAGGGAAACTGGGCCCAGCAGAGCCACTCAGGTGTCTCTGGACAGCGAATCTCAATACTCAGCTTATTCCAGATGTTTCTTTTTACTTTCTATTAAAAAAAAAAAAAACAACCCACCATTACCTTAGAAGTGCAGTCAGTGCTCTACTAGCTATGTCCATAACTGGCACAATAGTGCTACGCAGTTGTAAGTGACCAGGAAAGTCTCTCTGCGGGATTGTCTTCAACTGCCTAATGGGATGGTATAGAGAAAGCACCCATAGAGGGGGCAATCAGGTAAAAGGTTCAGGCTATGGGTGGAATACTCTGTTGCCAGTGTTTGTAGAAGCCACAGAGGAATTACCCCAGGGAAGAGCCCGACTAGTCAATGCCTGCTCAGTTCAGGTGGGGTTTTTTTTTGTTTTGTTTTCTTTTGTTTTTTTTTCGATCAGCTTCATAGGACCTTGAACGTAGCTAACAACTAATGTGCACCTGGACCAATGAGCATGTGGAATGAGCCTTAGAAAATGAAAATATAGTAGATATTCGAAGGGGAAAAAAAAGCATGCTTTTTTTCTCATAGGCAACAATATTCTGTAGAGACAAATACCTTCAACTCTGCAGGCATCTATAACCTGCAAATGGTGCAGTATTTCTTCTTCACTTGCTTGAACCAGGCTTAATAAATCTTCTGTAGTGTACTGCAAGGAGAGTTAAAAAAAGAGAGGGGGGGAGGAGAGAGGGGGGAGGGGAAACAAGTTATCCTTACTCCATCTTCACTTTAGCAAGCATGCTAAATGCATTATAAAACATAATGAAAACAGGACTTAGAAAATCAATTTTCTTTCCCTTCCCAGAATCTGAATTTATTAAGGTTTACTACATTCTCTGAAACTTCTCTTGTAATTTACAACAGTTTCTCAAAGGGTTATTCAATATAAAAACCAGTCTAACAACAGAGAGGTCTTTGTGTCGCTCCTCAGTAACACACCTCTGTTCCCAGAATGTCAAACTAGCACGAGTAAGCATCCTAAATAAAACCAGCACAGCGATAATGAAAAGCGAATGTGCCTAGTCTTTACTAAATCACATATTTTAATCTTTGAGAATCAAAAAAATTGGAGAAAAAAAAAAAAAAGAAGAAGGGAGCAAAACAAGTCCCTTATCCAACTCTCACCCCTCCAGCTTTTGGATAGATGTCAGAATTCCAACTTAGTGCCTCCACTGAGGGAAAGCCTCTGGCATGAGCTCAAAAGTTATGCATCGTGTTTTGAGGTCTGCTAACCAGTTACCAGATACGTAGCTCAGAACTGGTCACAGCTTCTGGTGAACTAGTTACCTGGTGAGATGGGAAGGTGCTGTGGATACTGTGGTGATGGGTTATGAGACATGGCAAGAACAGGAGGTATCACGAGCAGTAAGTGAGGTAATGAGAGAAATACGTGACACAAATCTATAGGAAATAGGGCTTCATCAATTCCTTTATTCACCTTACAGCCTTTTTAATTATCTCTAATATTAAAGTTTTATTGAGCATAGTGTAAAAATATTTGCTAGCAGAAAAACATAAATGTGATTTGATTAAAGGGCTGTGGTCTATTTGGCTATGTGAACAAAAAAATGGAACAAATCAACACTAAGTTTGGAACATATCTGCCTATTAAAAAAAAAAATTTGGTAAAAAAAGACTCCTCTCTCTTCCATTTCACTCCTATTAGACAATACGTTGAAACATCATCAGACTAAGCAGGATTGAACTTGCATCAGTATTTCAACAGGGGAACTCCATATTACAGAGTACTTTAAGAAACACTACTAGCAATTTAGAGCAAATACATCTTCCAATAGTATTTAAGTACGTTTGAGAGTGAAATACTGACAGCCAGCAATGACCCCGCATAGGTGTCCCTAGTATTTGTTTCCGATGAAGTCAGGACAGGCTAACACCCTATCAGCTACCAAATTAGCCTTCTTAAGAAACCACTTCTCTCAGCTGTAATGCTTTTATCAACTATGTCCCCCTTGCAAACATGAAATGGAACAGATTGACTTACATCATGTAAGTAACAGCTGTTTCCAGGAGTAAGGCACATATTAAAATACATTAACACACACACTTGTGATCTTTTGCCTATGCCTTTCTATTTCACTGTGAAATCCAGGATTATAATTTGAAACATCCCAAACAAGGTATATGTTTCTAAAGTTCTCCTGTAGTTTGCTAAATCATATCCATACGCTTCAGGCTTCCTTACAGCGCTGTGGCTCTTTGATTCTCTGTGTATGATACAGTACGAACAACTGATAACCGTGAGAAGCTACCAAAATTAATAACTTATTTTCAGCCAGAATAAAAGCAGCTTATTAGTTGCCAATACTCAGAAAATATTAAGCACATTGGAAATCTTCACATACAGTGTTTGGGATTCCGGTCAGAATTAGAAGCTATAGGAAAAAAGAGAGAGCTTTCCCATGGAGAGTTTTCAGATCATTCAAAGTTCTACCAGAGACGTAGATGAGATTCATCTACGTTTATCAGACACATCTAGTTGTTCTGAGCTGATATATTAAACAAATTTTCCTTCGAAACAATTGCAGAAGGTCAGACCTCAAACTTTAAGCAGTAACGCTTGGAGACACAGTGATATTGTTTTATAATATTCATGTAATATTATCAATAAATATTATTGCATAAGACATTTATTTTGAATCGCTAGCCTTTATCAATGGTTATAACATCTGGTCAACTTAAGCCTCTCTGCCAGCCCTTATATTGCTGCTGTGCTCTTCTATGCCTGGCTCAAAGTAGGTGGGAAAAATGAAACGGTAGAAAGGCAGTGCTGGGGGAAAGATGCTGGAACTGATCACAAAATAGTCTGACATCATCCAGAAAGAGAGAGAGGCAAGTATTTCTCTTCAAGGGAGAAACGTAACTTGTATGCGTGTGCATCCAAGCACGCACACGTGGCTTATCAATAACAGCTTCAACCAAGCCTCAGTGTAATATACTTTAAAACTACCACCATTTCCATTTTTTAAAGTTGAAAAATAAACAAACAAAAAACCCCATATATTTGAGATTATACGCTACACAGTCCAGGTCTTTCTGTAGTTATTTAGATCCCAAACTGGATTTCACGGAAACATAAAAGGGAACCAGGACAGTATTATATTTGTGCCCTTCTTGTACTGTTAGTCTTATTCTCTGTTTCCAGATCATCACTGCCATTCTCTGCACTCCCTGCTGCTACTTGTCGTTATAAACTACTGATTGGCAAGGCACTCGTACGTGGACTTCCTATGACTTCATATCTGGGTCATACACATCATATATGACAGCCTCAAAGAAGAAGGAAAAGCTGCATTATACCTTAGTAATCATGCAACTCCCAGCAAGTTTATAGAAGGTTCTGGAGACTGTGCTCAGAAAACTCTCTATTTAAAAAAAGAAATCTCCCATCTCTTTCAGTGTCCTCCCTTCTCCTGCTGTTACTATAGAACTTACCTGCTACAATCAGTGGAAATGCTAACAGCCGCCACCTAGTTTAGAGTGGTAGGTTTAAAAAAAAAAACAACAAAAAACAAAATCAAACCAGCAGCATGAAACATGTGAGCAAAGATATCTTTCTGGTTAAGAATGTATTTCACTTCAATTTTCCCATTACCATTTACAAGAAAGTGAGTCATTGAGCTGCCTACCTTTGAAACAGTCGAAGTCTGATCTTTCCCACTGTCTGGCCCCTCATATGGATCCTCCATTAAAAGCTTCCTCAGTTTCTTCAGTTTAGGTCGACATCTCCTTAATTCCCAGTAGTTATTGGAAAAGCCAGCAATCTACAGTGAGAAAGTGAAGAGACACTTAAAACATTTGAATCTATCATATGCATTCAAAGCAACTTACAAAAAAATTACCACCAAAAACTTTTAATCTAGTCACTGGGAACACGAACTTTTTTTAAACAGGCTAACTGCTCTGTTAGGAATGAGACAATCACTGTAATACTTCCAATATAAAATTTTACCACTGGCAATAAAGAATAAAAGTCTACAGTTTGTTGATAAAAATGTCTGTGGCGCATACAACAAAGAGACCATTTCTACATCATCTCTGCATTCACATAATGAGATATAGTGATGGGATAGAGTCCTGCACAATCCTTGACAACATTTCTTTTCCCCTTAATACTACGGGCATCCCATAAAACCATGCCTGTATTATCCCATTTTCATCTTCCCTATTCCTCCTGTTTAGTACGCTACTTCATGGTCTTTTTAATGATATGATGATTCATTAAGATGTAAGTACAAGGAAGACAGACATCAACAAGGCCACACCTGCATGCAACTAACAGAACATCTTTGTTCCTTATTCTGCTTTAAAAGATGGATTTAATGCAAGCAACTCAAAGCTCAGGTGTAAGCAATTTAATAATACGAATCTAATACAGCTTTACCTTCAGAGGAATCCTGAGGTGTTTCCTAGGGTACGCCCTGGAGTTCCTAGAAGATTCTGTGAGAAGCACAGAATACAGAAGCCCTTTCAGCAGCGTTCCCACTATTTACCAAGCCAACAGAGGTGGGTACAGCACGGTGGAGACAGAAAAGGCTCCAGGTTCATGACTCCTGACCCAAACTCTAGTCTCTTATAAAAAAAACCTTTCATCAAAAAGCCTCCAGAGAGTATTTTAAAAATGCCATAGTCACTTCAACAGACTTTTGATTTTTTTAAGCTTGTCAGTTAAAAAAAAAAGTTTAAAATAATGTTCCATTTAAATCAACTATAAGAAAACATCATGTATGTAGAACAAGTCCTATCCAAATTCTAACACAGAGAAAACTCATAGTTTTTAATCTGATTATTCCATAGCTTGTTTGGCATAACTTTCTGATACCTATTTAATTCCTGATGAAAATTCTACCGTTTTTCTCCAAGAGGAATAGCATTTACATAAGTGTTAAAATTTTTTCTGACAAGTTCTTTTCTGAGCAATTTGGAAATGAGTAAGACGGTACTCTACATAGAAAAGGAAATAAATCATATTAATTTAGAATTCAAAGTCCACAACTAGATCTAGTCTATATAAGGTAAATAAAATTACAGACGCTTTGGCCCTAAGTACTAGCCCTCCAAGTGGTACAAAGAGCAGCACTGATGAACTCTAAAGAATAGCAGTGCTATTTGTACATACTATCACGAGATAAGCCCCCAAACTACTGAGTAATCATAGGATCTTTTGCTATCTCCCACAGAGTTTGCAGTGTTAATACACAATGTACAGTTTTTGAAAACATTAAGAAAGCTCTTAAATATAAAACTCTAAAAATAATTCCTAATCAAATCACATTTGTATTATTTTGACATGTATAACTTCAGAGAATGAGTTATATCATTAAACACAGAAAAAGAGAATATGGAATAATATTATTTTCTCATTAATCCACTTTAATTTGAATTAACTTCCTATTAGCTGAACTGCTGCCATTTCATGGAAGAAACGATATTGGTTTTGAGTATTACGTTCATCTAAGGACAAGCAGGACTGCTCCTCAATGATGCCATTATAGTCATTACAGCAAATAATGAGCAAGTAATAATATTTTCCTAACTATTTTTAATAGAATTTTATTAACTACAGTTCACAAGAGCAGAGAACAATGAATTCTTTAAACCCAGAACTCTAAAAGCATCCACTCCAACAAACCTTTCCAGATGGTGGCTGAAAGAGAGTCACTTTTGAACATATTTCTGTATTTAAAAAATAGTATTCAAGCATCACATTGTATAAGCTGCCTTTTGGGGAAAGCACTCATAACAATCAATTTGCAAACAGCTTATTTTTTAAAATAGCTGCTAACGCTGAGAAATTAGATATTCTTTGAAACCTTTTAATACTTACCACAAGTAATCGTTATCTACTAAAAATAAACTAAGTTTAAACTTCTTAGAAACAATATTTATCACGTATTACTGATAAAAGTTCAGCTGCCTTGAAAAGGGCCCTAGGGCCCTTTTGGACTTCGTAAGGTACAGCGTGCTCCCTGGGTATAAGACGCCTTTATAAGCACATCCTTATGGGGCTGTCAGATACACAAAGAACCCACAGGAGACCCATGTCCTTCTGGAGTGGCAGTTGGTAGCTTGACCTATACCACAAGGTATCTAAAATGGCATTAGAAGCCTATGTTTAGGCAAATGAATTCCACATATAAGTAGTAAGGGTTTCACATTAGCATCTTGGGTAAAATACAAGCAATTACAGAGAATGAGAAATCAGAGAATTAAAGCAAACAAACAAAACCCCAGAAAGGTATACCTGCGAATGAATAATATTACAAGACTCTTGATCTGCCTTCAGCTGTTCTGGAGTTTTGCAGCCAGGAACAAACAAGAGCATATTTGATGTATCTGCTATTTTCATGTCATAAGTTTTATCTTTGCTGCACAATACGGCTTGTTCATCCTTTTCACCACGGATTACTAGGCTGAAAGAAATTAGCACAAAAATAAAGACATACTCTTACCTCTAGTTTGGCATGAGCACCTATTAAATTTGTCGATTTTTAAAATTTGCATGTTGGTAAGCAAGTCATAAACTCGGTAACAGTAATCATAGTATACAAAAATGTGAAGATGTAATTGTCAGTCTAAAGTATCTTAACACCATGCTTTTTGATGTCCTGTTTTTCACCCCAAAGGGTAGCCAACCCAGGCTTTTGTGCAGATTAAAATCTTATCCCTTCAACTGCTGAGGCACACAAGAAGCCCTATAACATTGATTTAGTGATGCCTTAAGCAAAGACTAGTTCATTAATCCTAGGAATTACATTACAACTACAGTTTTCCTTTAAGAAGGACTGAAACTGGCCCAAGGAAACAAGCAATAATGCACGGAAATACACAGTAGCACAGTCAATCGTGCAGTGTCCTTCACACAATTCCCTCCGAGAAGCATACTTGAATTTCTTGCAGTTAATTCGGGGGAGGAAAAAAACCCCAAGGTCTACAACATCTCAGCACAAAGAATCAAGGGAAATCCCCCTCTCCAGCTCACATGTGTGATTACACAGAGGCTCTTGGCGAGGACATGAAGCAGGGCTGCAACAGGGGAGCGCTCGGTTCCCCCGAGGCTATGCTAACACAGTTCAGGTCAGACTCCATCTAATCAATTTGCCAATCTCAACTCCAAAAACAAACCCCTTCTGCACCCAAAGCAGTCCCCAGGATGAATCAGGCCTCTAACCAACAATATCACAGGGATATTCCAGCGAGTATGTACGCTTATTAACATACATCTCAAGGACTATTTCTTTAGAGAGCGTTCCAGTGTATCGTTTTAAACACTTCTTTATCATATTATGTAACCAGCATTGCTCCCAGTAAAGGAATTTTTAAACTGCATCTACCATTGAAAAACAATTTCCCAGAACCTATCCTTGGTCCAGAGTCAGAAGCTGTCACATAATCATCCTACCAAAGGCACATGTTAATATCGTATACCCTTTGCTATGCTGTTTGCTAGTGTAATGTCCAGATACTGTAAGGAAAAGAGTCCCAGTAACAAGTGCTCAGAAGTCAACAAGATTTTGTTAGACCGATCTCCTTTTCTGCACCAAAATTTTAGGCACCCATCTTCGTATGCCCCGCAAGACTCTCTTCCTCTGCTAGGGCTATCAGCCTCTCCTGGAGCAGTTTTTCCTAAATCTGATTTTTCCATGTACAAAAAAACAACAAACAAACGAGAGAGCGCTCAGCAATGCCACAGCCGGGATGCGGGAGGCGTGAATACGAAAGCCCCCCGCTCTGATCGGACTGAACACAGCCTGACAGCAAGGCCTCAGCTTCACTTCTGGCTTTGCCACTGACTCGCACTGCGACAATATGGGTCGTCCACTGCCTTCCCTCTCTTTTCTAATTAACCTGCCAGCCCACAACAGTTACTTTGCTGAAGTAACCCCAGCACGTTAGAAACACCCGTTACGCTTGCTCTATCCAGCTTCTTATACGTGTGGCTGGTTCTCAGCCTACACTCAAGCCGAGGCAGCTGCAAGGCTGAGCTACCG